TAGCAGGCACATTGATGCAAGAGCATTATTGTACCTCTCACTAATACAAGAGCATAAGGCCGGGGCGGGGGGAGGTTCTCAAGGGAAAAATTATCAGGTATAAGTGCTAGAACAGAACCTCCCACAATGGTTCTAGTTTGGGAATTGTCCCATCTCCAGGGTCGTTGCCTGCTTTTATGGCACATACGCATACAGGCAACAGATCATGCAACTGGCAGTTGGATAGCTTTTTCCACAGTCCTTGTGATGCTTATGACACTTAAACTCTTGCAGTGGCTTTGAAAAGCCTAGATGGTATACTTACATCTGTTCCTTCTGAAAAGTCAACAATCTTATTTCAAAAGACTTTAGTATGAAAATGTAAACTCTACATGGTAACTTAGTATCACTGAGAAAAAGTATCATAGCTTTAGGTGTACTGAAATAGAACAATTACCAGCAGATGACTCATTAAGTCCAGCTTGCATCTTAGTCAAAGAGTTTGCCCGAGACTGACTGGCATCTTCTGTTGTCATAGCTGGATCTAAAATGAAAAAAGGGTTTAAAGAAACTTTATTCTTTCTCAGTTGAACTGAGTTGAAAAGTCTCTAGTTCACAAAAAGAATTCGAACAGAACCTCCTCACCTCAGTGCCTACCACCTCCATTCTTTCCCCGTGTTCTAAGCATATACAGCCAAAATGTGCAAGAATTATTTTTCCTTATTTCTTTAGCTTACTTTACACAATAAAATATTAAAGAACAGAGGCACTATTTATTTGACCTGTAATTTCTGTATACAGATCTTTTCTTGTAGTCACCCTATAGACAGGCAAAGCCATTCTTCAGAATACCCTAGCAGACCAATAAACTTTATAACCCTGTACTCAAATCCTGGTTTGTTCATGGGCTTAGACCACCACAGCTTATGACACTAACACTAGTTGATTATTTTTAAACATAGCTTAGCAGATTCACTAATAGAATAAGGACCTCATTACAAGCTTACATGTCTACCCTGTTTTGTGGTGCAGTGAACAATCTCCTTTCCTTTTGTTATCTTGGTGAGCAAAACAAAAGGCATCTGTGTCAAACAGGGGCTTCACCAAGTAATACTAACGACTATTTCCATTTTCCTTAACACCACTGCAAATCTGGTTCTGCTCATTTTTCTAAGAGCCAGGCAAGACTCTAGGGTTTTGCTTTATGTTCTTGACTGGAGAAAGGACAGCATGAGAAGAGGCAGAAGACTTGCTTAGTTTGAATATGTTGCTGTGTCACTCTTCTATTAAGAATTCAAGGTCCCTAGATGTTTTACAAAAATTGAGACATTTGCTCCTTCCTTTCTGTTCCCGCATTTGAGTGGCAGAACTAGTCAGCATAAAACAAACACTGTGTCTTCACATGCTTAAGCATTCCAGGACATACTCTACTCCTACAGGATCAGGATACATCCTTCTCTTCTTCAGACTCAGAGCAATCTCACATTAGGACCTTTTAAGTGATTTGGCCCATAGTGACACAGGGAAAAAAGGACATGCGTTTTGCAGCTGCAATTAAAGTCGGGGCAGGGGTGTGTGTATGTGTGTGTAATAAGTTTTGCTAGACATCCAAGACAGCAGCAAGCATAGACGTACACTGAAAAGCTACATCACACTAAGTGTGTTCAAACTTCTTAAGAACTGTATGCCTTCAGCAGAAGGTAAAGTCAGCACCCTGCCAGTTCCTACAAGTGAACACCATGACTAGCAGTGCATCCCCATTTCAGCACTACAGGCACAGATAACCTACAGACTCTCCCGCTCGCACCTCCAGCACACAGTTACTCCAGACTACATCAGAGTCATGCCCAGCTTGCACCATCTGCTTTCTCAATCTGCCCATCATACTTCTACCAGTTTGGATCAAGAGTAAAACAAGGCAGTCAAAGGATATGATTAAAAAATTAAGCATTAATTGTTCTTAAAAACAGGTTCTTGATTTTTCATACTGGTTCACTGGTCCCACAGCCAAGTGTTCCCTCCCAGCCCTTCACCCAACCAAAGAACTTAACAAGCATGCCCTGAGTATCTGCTGCCTTATGACCCAGTCAGTAAGAAGACTGAGTCTTATTCTCTGACTGACTGAGGTGCTGAGAGCAGGGAGAGCTACTATGCTTCTGATTTTCATGATAAGGTTGAAGAAAGGTCCATGAATTTTTACATCTGCAGCATCTTGAGGCATTCGATGGACGTCATGGATCACCTGACTGTGTCAGCTTAGTAAATGCATCACCTGCATAGTAATTAAAATCCCCAAAGATGATAAATTTAAAAGGTGCCACTGCCAAGCTGTACAGCAGCTCTGTTATCTCTCTGCAAGGAAGGCAGATAACCTGCAACATGGCTTGCATACTAATAGGATTCTCATCTTGGCTTTCTTCCTTGATTCACATACCAAGCGAAAGCAGTCAAGTAGTGTTATTTCTAGTCACCACTGCTTCCACATCTTCCCTGTTATCTGTCCATGTGTCAAACTACATAGCACAGAGATAACATTGCACCCTTCTCCTCTCATATACACTTGCTGAACAGCATCGGAGATCAACATGACCCAGCACTGCATGATTAGCGTCATCAAGCCAGGCAGTGATGTAAGCAAGTCCAGTGGAGTGACTTCTCAAACTGTTGAGTCATGGCTGCATGTCTTAAACTATAATTGATTTATATTAGATTTAATCAATAGTGTGGTAGCTTGTATAGTTCTTGTTGCCCTGGTCTTCATGCAGGAAGGAGTAGGTGAGAGTATGAGGTCATCAATCTATTTTTCAGCCTTACCTCTGCTCCCTACTGCAGCCAATATTTGGGATCTAGAGCAATCTCAGGCTTTAAAAATCTATTTGCTCTCTTTTTTCAACCAGAAAAGTGGCTGAATAGGAAAAGGTTGAGATACAATTTGGTTTAATTTAACATCATTAATTTAACATTAAATTTAATGTCAATTAATTTAGTATCAATTTTATACTCTGTGCAAGCACACAACCATTCAGTAGCATCGAAAACCAGCTGCCAGAACCTCCTGGTGCCCCTACAAAAGGCAAAAGCTGAAGGCTGAACTCTCCTGAGACACCAGAGGATCCACATGAAGCACTTCCAAATGCCCTGACAGAAGCCCTTCAGAGGATCCATATGAAGAACTTCCAAATGCCCTGACAGAAGCCCTTCCCTCAGGGCAAACCAGAAAAAAAATCTAACCTGGAAGCAAAGTCCATAAGAAATGGGTTGTATCCTCTACTCATACAACTACTTGGTATCTTTTAGGGGCAGAAGATGGTAGACAGGATGTGGTGAGTTTGCATTTCTTAAAGGAACCATGGACACACATGCTGCAACCAAATTAGGCAACCACAATGGTTGCCTAAAACAAAGGCAGCAAACTCTGAAGAGAAACGTCATGACATTTAGTAAGAAATTACCCTAATAAAAGCGATGGTTTAAATTTTTAAAAACAATTAACTGAACAGTTACAAGACTAAAAGACAAAAGTAACAGAATAATAAGAAGTCTCCTCAGGCTACTTATCTCAAAATAAAACCCAAGAGGCCTCTTGTAGTATCTGCCTGGCCAGCTGCAGAAGGCTATGCAAGCCGCCTTTCTGCGGCTCTCTCCTTGTGCACCTAGTACTTCTCCCAGTTCCTTTTACCGCAAGCATTTCTTTTGCTTGAAGAAACCCGCTGAAGGCCCACATCTCCAGAACACACGCTGTTTCTGGACTTCACTAGAAGACAAGTTTTAGTTCTTCTCCTTCCAAGGGAGCATGAACTTCCCTTGGCTGCATCTGTGCAGAGAGTCCCTGTGCTTGACTAGCTTTTTGCTTATTTGGTTAATAACTAATGGAAGAGTGAAATGCTTTCCCTCACATTTAAACCACCATGGAAATCACAGTATTAAGCCTCTCTAACTAGTTCATACAAATATAAAAGCATCTAACAGAAGTCTGAAAAACAACAGATATAGATAAACAGTACCAAAGCAGGTGGCTCATTTCTGATGTCTGCTCAAAACCAGACATGATATCCACCACTTTAGGAAGGTGGAAATTTTGGAAACACAAATAGGGTTTTGTTGGGTTTTTTTAAATTAGGTTTATTTTTCAAAGATGATATCATGTCACTGATGGTTTTACATAAACTTAGAATTGCTTTAACCACCATTAGATACAGATTTTGGCAGTAATAGTCATCAAAAATATATACCATGTGGCTAACTTGCCACAGTGTCACTCACACGTTCCTACAAATATCAGGCCATTGACAGTCACAAAACCTTTTGACCAATGAAAGAAACTGTTAGAAAAGGCTTCAAGGGTTTTGTGTGTGCATGCATAAATACACATAAATATCTTAAAGAAGCTTTAAGAACTACAAAGCAGATTTTCCTCTGTGTGCATGCATAAGTGTATTTTAAACAAGCCTTGAGAACCGCAAAACACATTTTCTGTCCTTCCACATTATGTGGAACTACTAGAAATTTTACAGAAGTTAACATCACACGGGGAGCAGTATTGCTCCTCTCAGCATGAGGAGGACCAAGGGCACAAAGGAACATATAACTACTTACATATCACACACTGAAAAAGCAGCTAAGCCACTGATGGTTAATAAAATACACAGAAACAATGTTCACATACACGTATTGGCAGAACTTTCAGCCTTGGCAATACATGCTCCAACAACCACATCTTGCCCAGCAAACACCAGCAATCTAATATTTCCTTCCACTAGCATTCTGTACTCCTCCGGGATGCTTCAAAAATAGGGATTAATAACAGAAATCCACTAGTTTTAGATATAAGCTTCTATTTCCTTAGAAGTGCCTGGCCCACTGAAAACGACTAGAGGAAGAATAGGCCCCAGAAGGCTCAAGTCCCTCTCCCTTCATAAATTTTAAATGTCACATCTAAAAACGCAATATAAGATCTTCCAGGCAACATTCCTCACAACCTGCTAGGCATAGTGATATTTTTACTAACGTAACTTACCGATATGGGGTTTTTTTGTTGTTGTGGGATTATTTAGGGTTTTTTTTTTTCAGGACTTAAATAACACTTTAGTTGATAAGGACAGTGCATCAATAACACACGACCCCTCAGCCTCCCAGTCCTGCACCTGAGAACTGTTAAACCAAGGCGGGGCCCGCTGTCCGGCCGCAGGGCTGAGCATCGCTGCGCCGCGGGGAGGGGGCGAACGACCACCTTACCCTTCGCTGGAGGGCACCAGAGGAGGGACCCCCGGCTTTCCAGCACGCCTACGGGAAAGCCGAACACCTTCTGTTTGTTTGTTTTTTGAAGCTAAAGCCGAGGGAGCACAGGGAGGGGGCCGCTGAAGGCGCAGAAACACTTCACTCGTTTAAAAAGGCATGCTTTGGGCTTGGAGCTCACTGAAGTGAAAGTCTTCCAGACTGGGGAGGATCCATCGATCCCCTTGCACGTGCTTTCCAGGCTCTCCATAAACTCAGACCTCTGGCACAGCAGCTCGGACTTGGAGTTTACCATGCAGTGCTTGGTGCCTGACTTCCAGCAGCCCGCAGACTGCATGGATTTCTCCTCCCGACTTCAGGAGCAGCAGGTGTGTCTGGAACGAGTGACCAGCTCAGATCTGGGGCTCAGTGGCACCATCCAGGTTCGCAATGTTGCTTTTGAGAAGCAGGTGTCTGTCCGGTACACCTTCAACCAGTGGAGAAGCCTCCATGAAGTGTGTGCCCGTTGGCACAGTAGCATCCCTGAGAAAAGCGGGCAGGGTCAGGTCGATGTTTTCACTTTCTTTCTCCCTGTGCCTCCTTTCCTCCTGCAGCTGTGCTCTGTCGTCCAGTTTGCAGCGAGGTACCGAGTCAACGGCTGGGAGTACTGGGATAACAACAGAGGCAAAAACTACACTCTTACCTGCCGGACTCACCCCCTTAAGATGCCCAGAGAGTGCGAGGAGAGCTGGATCCACTTCATCTGACTGAACAAAGTGGGTGCAGAGCAGCTTGTCAGTAGTCGCGGTGGCACGCTCGTCCTTGGCCGGGCTCTCTGCTCCTATGGCAACAGTCTCCTTTTTGAAACCTGCCAAACTTGGCAAAGTGTTGCAGGGCAGGGAAGTAGCCAATGACCTGTACAAACTGTTCTAAACCTCTCAGAAAGTAAAAAAGGCCAAAATGTGTATTGAGTTACATCCGTTGAAAGGCCACAGGACTTTGGCTACTGCTTCGTGCCTTTAAAATCACAATTTAATTGCTTAGACTCTTTTAATCTGTATATATATGTACATATATAGTAAACCCACCCACATATATAAAAATATATATGCATTTATCTGTTTGTTACTTGATAAATAACTTAATTTGGATTTTGCAGTCTAAAATATGGCAGGGAAGTCTCCATGAGGGGGTACTTGCTGCTTCATCCTTCCTATCAAGATACAGTTACTTCAGCTAATGCAAAAGTTGAATTGTGCATAAGGTTTGTATCAATAATGCAAAAAGGTCACTGCAGCTAAGCCTTTTACATCATCTGAGCTCTGCTGTGCTGGCAGAGCCGTAGGAGTTCATGCAGCGCAGAAGTAAGTGAAATGCCTTGGGTGTTGATTTTCCAGCATCGCACATGTTCATGCATGTCCTCCAATACCACTAGTGTCCTTCAGATTAAAATTTTCCACTGTAAAACCTCCCAATAAATACAGCTAATGGCAAAAGACTGTGAATGGGGTTGTTTCGTTAAGCCCTTGCTGCGTGTCACAGGAAGACTCGGGGTTCCTGATGACTAAGTGGGACCATGTATAGATAGGAGCCTTTTCTGCTGTTGAAAGAATGAATGCCCTTCATATACTTAGAGCAATGGGATGGAGCTTTCTGTGCTCCAGCTCTAAGGTTGTTTATCTCATGTGCAGAAGGTAGGAAGTCATATGTATGAGTAGTCAATGCATAGTGGTGCCTATACAGCTGTAAATCCACTGCTTTTGAAATTTAGCTGCAGCTTCTTGTTCTGTGGTGTGGTGTGACAGACAGACAGCACCAGTGTGCTCTAAGGAGAGACGGAAGCCCCAGAGTTTTGTTAATCTGTCAGCCTGCTACAACTGCACAGAGCGATGGGATGCAGAGAGAGAATCTGATCCAGATAAAGCTGTTTGGGAGTGGCAGAAGATCTCCAGCTTTTAACGGGGAAAAAAATTGACTGAAGCTTGAAAGCTGTTTTATCTGAACGAGTTAGGCCTGAAGAGACTTATCTGTTGGGGGGGGCAAAGGGGGAAGGGACATAAAAGAAAAGGGTGTATCGACTACCTTTAGATACAAAGGGGCTGGTTTGTAGTTGTAGTTAGCTCTCCCTGGAATGGGTGAAAAGAAAACCTTATGTTCACCCGATTTAGCAGTTGAATAAGCAGCACCTTTTGGTGAGGCAGATTTTATCCACCTGGAAACCATGTGGATGGGTTAGTGTGGGGCAAGTCTACATAGAAATCTATATCTAAACTCTGCCAGCTGGCAGGAACGGAGCTGCTGAGGACCATCTGATCTAGGACCTAGCTGTAGCTTAATCAGTTCTGGCTCAGTGGAAATTGTAGTGGTTCTGATGGAGATTATTTGGTTTGAATAACTTGACACAATGTCTTGTTTAGGACTGGCTTCTGTCTTTCCTGCCAAGACATCTCGGGTACAGCAGCAAAGCAGTCTGGAGACGTGGTGAATACATTTGCAGAATTCCTTCTCAGCTCTTCTACTGGGCTTGTTGTCTGCTAATGGTAGATCCCACACTTACCTAATGCTGAATGGGAAGAAAACAGTTATTAAACTATTCCTGAGGGAGCTGTTGTTTCCTATACTCACGGTATGAGATACAGAAGCCACAAAGCAATAGAAGGGGGAAAGGCAAAGAGGAAGCAGAATTTAGAGGAACCGCTCCAGTAAAGAAGCAAACAGACCTTTAATGGTTTCAGTGCTCCAGAGTTTGCTTTACTAAATAATATGCTAGATTATTCCCCAAGTACTACTGCTGCATTTGGTAGATCATTCAAAGTGTAGGAGTGAGAGATTTCAGAAACTGTAAGGTTAGTGATAACAAACTATGAGAAAGTAGAATTTTGGGGATATTAAAAAAAATCAGCTCATATTTGCTTACATTTGGAAGCACTGACTGGTGAGTAATTAGGAATTTCAGGAAAAGTATCTAAATTTTACATACTAAGACTAACTGCTCCATCTATTAACATCCAGCATATTTTCCTATTGTCTCTCAAGCTAATTCTTTTCTCTCACTTTCAGAGAGAAACTTTGACTTATTTTCACATGGTAATTACTTGGCAAATGTGACAGTCGTTTTGGAATGAGGATTCATATGTTGAACCATATTCTGCCTTATAAGAAAAAATTTATATTTAATAAAACCTTTGATACAGGGAAATTGCTGGCTTATTCAGTTGGAAGACATTTGCCAAAACTTTTCACGGCAGAAGGAAAGTAAATGAAACTCTGAAAATTGCTGACAGGTTGATTACTGGCTGAAGAAAAATCTGGATGATAATTTGTACTTTTACAGCACCTTTCCTCCAACAACCAAGTCTGTGTTCTCAAAGCCCAGTCTTTGGCATTCATTTATTCCTGTTAATAACTAAGACAGTAAAATAACCAAAAGACACACCTGATCCAGCAGTTTCCTTGGCTGGAGGTTTGCTCTTTATAAAATCCACTGAAACTGTGAAAAGTTAACTAACGCATATGTGAGAAGAACTGGGAAAAGGAACAAACAGGCAAAGGGGACTGAAAGGTTCTTGAGGTGGCAGCAGGTATGTTTCAGGGATGGTGTTTAGCAGCTTTCAGTATCTGAAGCTGAATCATCAGGACCTTATTAGACTCTAGATAAATTTTTCTAATGTTCAAAGAACTTTAATGAGGACACATTTGTTCATGGGTGTGAAAATTTTAATTGGAAAAGCATGAAAATAAACAGTAGGGAATAGGAGAAAAAAACTAGAATTACTTTAGAAATAACTCTTGCAAGCATGGTCAGGAGATAATTTTGCAAGGCCAGGAGATAATGTGTTACTAATCAATGGACCACTATCAAAAAGATGTGCCAGAGTAGATGCTATGCAACATCTCCATGGGATCCCCATTCGACGGTAACAGTCAGGTTATAATAAAATAAAAAAAAATAATGCAGGATGCACGTTTCTGAAAGCCAAAGCAATATGTTGAATGCTAGTACAAGACTACAAAATGGAATTTTATTGTCTTCCCCAAACATTTATCTTTTGCTTGCTGTCTTTGAAGGATTTAACTAAATTGACCTCTTGGCTGGATTTAAAATTACAGGCCAGATTATGCAATCTGCATACTCTGCAATTGCCTACTCTGCAATGTCTGCATCCTGCTGAGTGGCTGTAAATCCCACTATCTCCTGTCACCTCTTTGAAGGCAATTTGCAAGATTAAGCATATAATCTCTATTGAAAATTCTGCCATTTATCAAATGTTTCATGTCGTGTTCTAAGATCTGCACTGTAGAGGAGACAAAAATTTGGACTGTAGTGCTTTAGAAATGTAGTTCTTAAAAATCTTAGGTTGCTGCCAATACCAGTTACTGAGATTGGCAATACTGATGATCATACAAGATACAATATCAATTGCTATTGTGCAGGGTTTGATTTTGTGCAGGATTGCAGATTATGCAGTAAGGCTCTGCTCAGAAAAGGCTTTGTTCACGTGGCAAACACACCGTCATCAGAACTAGCAACCAGAAAGTCAGCCAAGTTAGATTTTTGGCAAACAGTTCTTTTGCCTTTCTGTCTTGCCTCTCCCTCCCTCCCCCAATCCTGAACAAAATTGTTATTTTTTAATGGAAAATATAATGAAAAAACACTATTTTGTTTAAAACACAATTTAGATTGATACCTTATGTACAGACATCTAAAGAATTTTCTACAATCTGTTAGTTTAATGTAGAAATGAAGTTCACTGTGATACCAATGTTTGCCACCCCATCACAGTTTGTTTTGCAAGATGTTGCTTCAAAATGTGCAAAAAATATTTTAAATGTCTCAAGCAAGACCAGACTTTCAGGGAGTTAGTATCTTCCATTACAGTAATGTACCTGGAAAAAGTAAGCCAGCCTCTGATCTGAATACAATTTGGGAACAATTACTTTGTCTAGTTGTAATTATGCTGAGGGTACGCAGTCTCACCTATTGCTTTAACATCAGGAAGAAGAAGGTCACCTTTGATAAGTCTTACTTTTTCATGAATTCTCCATTTTCCAACCTTTCAAACTCTTAAAAATATTTTCTCTTTTGTTGCAAAAATAAAAAATCACAAGAGGCCTTGTATACAATACACTATACAGGAAAGTCTCCTCCATTCTGCTGCTGTAGTTGCTCAATTATTAGTAGCAACTGAGTCCTCTGGTGAAACAGCCCTTCTTTACAACATTGAAATTGTCCTATGTGGGGCTTCTGCTCTGGGGGAAGTAATGCGTGTGCTGCACAAGATAATGCTTTTCTGTTTTTTTGTGGGTGTGGTGACGGGGTGTAGAATTTGTCTGGTTCAACTGACCTGTTTTGTGGTTTTCCTCTGCTGTGTTTTTTTTTGGAGGTAGTTGACACAAACCTAGTTTCTCTGATTTTTTTTTTTTTTAATTTGGAATTATGTTTGTAATACTGAAGGTAAGACCTGAAGCATAAAATAAGTAACAAGTAAAGTGGGCTAAGCCTTATTGATTATATTCCTGGTGGAGGGAAGTCATTCAAGTTAAACTCCACTCCATGTATTTATTAGTTAACTTCAGTAAACTTTAGAAACTCTACCTCTAACAGCATCCTTTCACTTTCAACATTGTTTATTCCTTTAATCTTTGTGTATTAAAAGAGGGCTTCAAAAAAAAAAAAAAAGTGGAGAAAGCTATGTAACTAAAACTGTTATTTGTAATTTCAAAATCTTGACTTTTTAAACAGTTTTTATTAGTCTTTTGCTTTTCA